CCTTCAACTACCTGAAGAGGGGTTACAAAGCAGATGAAGCTAGACTGTTCTCAGTGGTAGCAGATTACAGAACAAGAAGCAATGGTCTCAAGTTGCAGCAAGGAAAGTTTAGGTTAGATGTTAGAATAAATTTTCTCACTTGGAAGGTAGTAAAGCACTGGAACAGGGTACCGAGAAATGTTATGGAATCTGTATCCTTAAGTTTGAGACCCAGGTAGGTGGGGATGTTCCTACTTTAAGCAGGGGGTTGGACTAGATGACCTCCTGAGGTCATGAACAGATTTGGGCTGTGACCCACACTTAGTCTGCAGTACAATTAAAAGTGCAAGTTCTATGAGCTAACACTTATGAATAAACTTAGAATAAATTTAAACTGTAAAAGCACAGATATGAGTGGAAGATAATGAGATTTGCAGTATGCAGATTTCTAGGGAAAAGGAGGGGGTGGATTATTATCTAGAGATGAAGAAACACATCAGCTTAATACCAGTGGAAACAAAAAGGAACTGCAAGGAACTGCCAGAGAGTGAAGGAAAGAGAAGACAAGAACACATTTATTCGGCTTATGGTAGCACTTCTTAGGGGACTGGCTACATCTTTAAATGTTAATTTGGTGATAAATTGGATTAATTAATAAAAAAGGTTATAAAAGGACAACCTTGTTACTTCCCATCCTCACTTTGCTCTCAGAGGAGGAGCCTGAGGTTGATTTGCATCCCATTTCCAATTGTTTTTCCCTTTCATCTCCTAAGTAAGAGTTTATGGAAGTCATTTCATGTTTGGGAAAGAATATGTAGACCAAGCAATCTAACAACCACAAACAATTTGGGGACTCAGTAAATAAGACAGCTTCTTTTTTTAAATCTTAGATCTTATTGCTGTTCCTGATTTCCAGTCAGGAGCTATGGAAAACTGGGGTCTCATCACATACAGAGAGACTTCTCTACTCTATGATCCCAAGACCTCCTCAGCAGCTGACAAACTGTGGGTCACCAAAGTGATAGCCCATGAATTAGCACATCAGGTAACTATAGACTTCTTACCTAGCAAGCCTAGTAAGATGTCAATGAAAAAGCTAAGGCTGAAGGATAAATCAAAAGAGCTTTAAAAAAGTGAATATTAGCATCAAGAGAACAAATCACTTAGAAGGGAGGAGGGTGATGAATAATACTCAGTACTGTTTACTAGACACCTTTTTACTCTAGCTTCTGGGGTGATGTATTGACTCATTTACACAAACCTGTTTCAAGACAGAGTAACTCAACTGATTCATGGAGTTATTTCAGATTGAAATTTGTGTATTTGTAAGCAGAATGCATTCCACTGCCTGGTAATACAGAAAACAAGAGAATCTTGTCCCTGGCTAGTCCTTTGTCAGCATACACATTTTTAATTTTAGATGTCTTCTATTGTAGTAGCATCATATTTTCTGCTTTAAGGAATTAACTTTTTCCCCTTGGACTGTTAATAGTAAATGTTGAAATTCCTTCTTTTGTAGGTTTGAAAAAGTAGTAAATATGAGAAAAATATGAATATAGGCATTATGAGCCAGATAGCATTGAAACTGGAGCCTTCAATTTATTCACAGAACCGATTCAGGAGATGAATAGTGGGTGTTTAAAATTCCTCTCTGTACTCCTAGAAGAAGTCACAGTATTAGTTGGGAAATGCTTCTTCGAGGAAGAAGTTATGTAATCTTCCATGTCAAGTCAATATTTGCATCTTTTGATTTAAAGTACACAGAATACATTTTTTCAACCGCAAATTGATTTTTTTAATTAGCTTTTTTT